GAAACAAGTGATGTAATAAAAACGTAGTTTTCGGTTTAGAAGCTAAGCGACTTGAGAGAAGACGCTACTTATATTATATTTAGTCATTTCTCCATAACTTTGACAGCTCAATGTATAATTAATCTTCTGAAGATAAATTAAGCGACGATCAAGCGGGTAAAGAAACAAAAATATCATTTTCAATTTAAATATAACCTTTCGGTTGTAGCAATTTTTCAATTCCCGATGAGACTCTGATAAACTAATATCGAACTGATTAAAGTAAAATCATTCTTCTCTAAAGGAAGAAAATGATCGTGCAAGGCAGAGATTACACCTTAATACAATAATTCTTTTAGATTTGAATTTAATTAAACGCAAACTTCATTCGCTAATCCGCCTGTGATCACTCGGAAACAGTGTGCTCGTTTCGCTCCATCTGAATTTTGATCAAGAATAGCACACTGTTTCAATAACAATATCAATAACTTTATAAATAGTCACTGGAAATGAAAGAAATACACGACAGCAACAACCTACTGGTTCGCAATTGAAACAGAGACTCCGACACAGCTGTGACTCGATCAAACCATCAGAGGCTAACCAAAAATACCTTGATTTGTCTCAAAGATTGTTAAACAAAGAGCTTAATAATATAAATGGCTTATATTGTAACACTGCCCTATGTTACGTAACGTAACAGCGTTTCGACAAAATTAGCCGATCGTCTATTAGGTCGTCAGAAAAATTTCTTTCGTTTTATAAGGAAAAAATAATGGATAGGCAACATTTTCCGTTTTATATTATTTTATCGGATTACGTATGATCCATTTTGTTCTATGAAAATAAAGATCACAGCGTTCGACAGATTAGGTTTCATGTTTGTGTCAATATGCGTTGTAAAAGACGTGTCTGTAAAAGAAAGGCACTTTCCGGACAACCTAATACGTAATTTTCACAAGTACCAACTTTATTTTTGTTCTTTATTCTACTTTATTGTTTCCTTTAATGATGGACGTTTTTACGATTGTTTTGATCGTTCGATAAACTATATATAAAAATCGTTAAACAATCGCTATAGGAAAAAGGGATGTGCCACTATTGGAAATGTTCTTATTTATTGAAATACTGTAAATTCTACCTTCTTTCGCAAGTATTACAAATCCTATTGATAAAAGCATCTTGAGTTCGTACAAATAATTTAACCCTCTCTTCAAGTACCTGTTCTTGAACAATACTGGGCACACGCACGGTTAATCTCTGTATATAAATAGAGCAACGACGATACGATAAACATACGTCAGACGATACGTCAACATCGAACGGTGATCACCTATGATAAGCTATCTATTAAAAACCTTCGCGAATCTTTTGATCTCGCAAGAACGACTTATCGTCTTAAAATCTCAAATAAAAAATAACCAGGAAATCAACGACAGTGATCTTCTGCGCAGAAACTTCCGACCCGATAAAACTAAAAGCCCTCGTCAACTCGGAGCAATATTTAGATACGGTAGGATGCTGGTTATCGAGATAGTCAACAATGCGAGACAAAAAGAAACACAAATAATATGAACCAAGCTGATACATTATACCGGGACGTTTAAAAATAAATCAGATTTTGACGCTTTTTTTCTCGAAATGAAAAATCCACATTTTTTCTAATGTAGCCTTACTTTCTAACAAGACTAAATAAAATAAGGCTACGTTATAAAAGTTCTGATTTTAAATGACCAAGATATATTAGGTTGTCCGAAAAGTTTCTTTCGTTTCATAAGGTGATAATAGATGAACAACAATTTCTGTTTTATATTATTTTATCGAATTAAGTACGATCCATTTCGTTATATTTCTGTATAATTCAATAAAATAATATAAAAGAAAAAACATTGTGCGTCTATTATTTCCTTATAAAACGAAAGAAACTTTTTGGACAACCCAATAAAAGGAAGAATTTTGCAAAATGATAGAGTTACACGAAGGACTGGACTGCTAAAAATTTCAAAATACAAAATTCCTTTTCATTCATAGATCATAATAGTTCGGAAAAATTCTAATAATCACTGTGAGAAACGCAACAAATATATATTTGAGTAATCGCTAGAGGGTATATGTGAAGACGCGCGAATGCGAGTTATGCGTAGAATATCAGACTCGCGGAAAAGACAGCGACAGTTAGCTGGTCACTTTGAGGAATTCGCATTCCGCGATGTCATATTGATTCCACTGACTTAAGTATTCTTTATTGGTACTCATCTGAACACTTAGAGGAATCCTATACCTGTGACCGAATATAATTCTTTGTAATTCATAATAAGCCTGAAAACATTGAATCTTGATATCTCGTATTCCTCATTTTATAAAAATATCACGTTATATTATATTTTAACAATTTAATATCTAGTTATTATACATATAGTATATAAATTTTTGTAGGAATACGAAGGTAAATCATATTCTAACTTTTATTTTCCTATGTGTACTGATAGGATTAGACAAAAATTTCAAAATATACAAAATAGTGTTTTCTTAAGAACAATACACGCACCAAATGTCAACCTGAATCGGCGCAAGTAAACAATTTGTATTTAGCACACATGTCGATTATTTATCCGCATCTAAAGTATAATTTGTAGGAAAAAAACATACGAAGTGTATAATTTGCGAAAAGGGAACTTGATAATAAATTTCAATGACCTTAAAATTCTACTAATAACAAGGGCCAAGTGTTAGCTTATATTCAAGTATAATAATTTTTACGCAATTACGTAAAAGTTATGACATAAAAATTAATAATTCAAAGGAATCTCCGTAATTTTTACAAACACATTCTTCCAACTAATCATTAATTCACCTCTCCGAAGAAAGAAAAAAGGGATCCTTTCGTTCATCGCTCACATAGTTTTCTTTTCCCATTTTCTTTTATCGTCTTATGGAAACATATAAAAACATAGAATCTGAAGAACATTCGTCTCAATTACATTTATCGCTCTCAACGTATTTACCTAGAAAAAAAGCTATAGGCTTCTCAAGATATCGAGAATGATAATTCACATGATCTCGAAGAACGCGAATATTTCGAAGAATCGTCATCCTGTCATGTAATAGCGACGAGATTTATACATACGTGCATAAACATTTCCATCGATATTATCTGAAAAATCCAGTGTGATTTTTTACTCCAACGATAACGAGGTAGCACGAGACGAAATTATGTCGGAGACGAGTGAAACAACGTTGACAAATCGATGGCGTTAGTCCTGCACCTATCTCTTCGTCGCCAGTATTTGCGAAGGAGAATCTGGCAAATGAATGAGCCAAAATTATGCAAGAGTCTCTCTAGGAAAATATGGCAGCGAAAAATTGCGATCAAAAATAGCTGCAACCAGTCGGCGAAAAAAACACTCTGAGACCCTTAGCGGATAACGCATATATTTGGAATTCTAATTATTATCCGAATATCAGGTACCTAACACGTGCCATGAAGCACGAATTTCCGAGGAAAATAAAGAAAAATACTTAACCATAATGGGAGCAAGGCTAAGACGATTTAATATTAGGTCAATTCTGATAGAAATCTCGCATCGTTATTATAAATCCTACATGGCAAACATGAAAACAAACGCATCTCTTTCTAAAGGAGACGAGCTAACAATGATTTCGTGAGTCTAAAAAACGATAAACGCCCGACGATCGTTCGATGGTGTGCAATTTTTTATCTCTAAAGTTATTTAATCAACGAGTGGCCACGTCCAATATTTCAAGCCTAATGTAATCAACAAATGACGTGCGAAGTCTACGGTGAAATAGTTTCGAATAATCCCCTGTTTCGTCTTTCGAAACTTAAGATACTCTGGAGCATAAAACTTATTGGGAAAATAGTTACTTTATCACGAAATAAATTACTTGTAATGATAGTTTCGATGATAGTACGATCCATATTGATAATGCTGCAATAATTTCGAATCGATAACAATCTATGAAGAAACCGACGGACAGTCTGAATCGTCTAATCAGATCGTTTAATCACAAGCCACGAGTAAGATAATAACTACTATCGTAATTTTCTATAGAAACAACTAGAGTGAAAAGAAATGGTAAATTACGGTTTTCCACGGGTCTTACAATGTCCAAGGAGCGATTCTTGAAAATGTAAAAACACTTGTCCTGAAAAATTGGAGAAACAAATGAGTTCTATTACGATCCATAATGACGATTATTTAAAATTACAAACACCTGTCTACTAGACATGTAGTTAATACTTATCGATTGTTCAAGGAACTTTAAAGAATTAAGAGCTATTTATGTATAACCAGAATTTCCATTATAATGAATTATTTACATTGTATGCTGTTCACGTTGTTTCACAGGTGGCCCCAAAAGCTCGAAAAGGAATATAAAGAAATGACACAAAATATAATACTTCATTGAGTAGTTTTCTTAACGAGCTTCTACCAGGTGAACAGGAAAAGACTCAAGTAATTGATAGCTCCAATTAAAAAAAAAAAGAAAAAAAGACTAACTTTAGAGACGTCAACGTTATATTGTTTCTCGCATTACTCGAAATTATTACGTGCTATTTAACTTGAAATTTAGATAAAAGTTTAAAAAGAAGCTTAACACTCTAAGTCAACAGGTTTAAATTACATACTTTCAAAGTAACGAAATGAATTTCCTAAATACTCGCGAAACGAATAGAAAAATTTTAATCAAACCTATTTTAAAGCATTGCCAAGTCAAAGATTCAAACTAAATATTAGAATTCAGCTTTTGTGGAATTAAAAGAAATTCTGATACATATAATATGTCTAAAGTATAGGTAAAACAAATGGTTAAATGTCTTCGCACTTAACTGAACTTAACTTCGTACTTAAAACCGTGCTTTCGTTAAGAGTAGAAGATCCACGCTATTTTTCAAACTACTTGTAGTTGATTCGTGAGTGTGACTCGCTATTAATCCATCAATCGAGTATCAGTCACTTATCAACTGTATAATACTCGAGTGGATTACCATTGTTTCCCTTAAACCTATAAAAAGAAGCGGCAAAACGCGAAAGCCAAGAAGTCGGATTACTATATTGCGGTGTGCATAGTGAGCCACGACAACAGCAATGGCAACTGGAATAGCATTAAGTTCGTATCAGAATATTATTCGATCTAGACACGAACAAATCGAGTAACTGATTAATGAAAAACAATTTCCTTTCAGTTTATCCTGCGTTGCTGACGGTGTTAGCGGAAAACAATTATACGATCTTTCCGGATGAAACAGGAGTGCCACATCTGATTAAAATCGATAACTCTCCACTAACTGAATTAGAACTTGCCATTTTAGGTATCAATGTGGAATCGGTCAGTTTCAACCTTTACACACGGTTAGAATTATTTTTTGGTAACCTTTTTATTTATTGAAAATATATTCTGTACGTTTATGTATATTCTTGCATATTTAAGTTTTCCACGAGTGCATAAAAATGCACGATCTAACTACGATTAGCTGAATAGCTACGATAAGCTGAAAAAGTATTTAAAATTATTTGATTAATCAGAAAAGTAATTTGTACTAAACTAATTATAATAAAGCTGATCTGTTCGCTATGAAAGATCGCTATAATAATCGCCTGTCAGTCTACCTTTATGCGCGAACTATAGAGAACTATAAAGAACCTCGCATGATATTGCAATAATTTTTAATCCATTACATTAAAAATGTCAAACATTAAAAAGAATCTTCAGTTTGAGCAAAATGTGTCTTATCGTTATTCATCAATTTTCTATTCTACGTTAAGACGTTACAGTTGCTCTTCGTTTGCTAAAATGAGAATAAGTCTGCAAGGTAAAAATTCTTTTTTGCAGAGAAGAAACAGTTACAAGTAGGTCATACCGTGTTCGAGGTATGATTCGATTAACATTGAAAAATGTAATTTTTATTCTAGAGATAACCCTATGATTGGTGATGTGCTAAATCTAAACGACGTAGTCTCTGTACGAAAGAGTCATTGGAACCCGCACAGGGAAACCATCATAGTTACTCACGGTTGGAATGCCAATGGTCGATCTTCGTCATGTACACTCGTACGCGATGGTAAATAAGTTTCGTCGGTGTAATAAATACACTGTGAGCTAAAATTCGTGATATAACTGAGGCCAGGGGAGATTCTGTGACTCGAAATAAGAATAAAAGATTTTAACAACGGAATCACGTTGGAAATTTCATTTTTTGATTTTCATCTTATTTCGAGACATAGAATCTTCCTGACTTTATCGAGTTGAACTTAATCAATATTTTACGTTATAAGACAAATACGTATTTACATTACGTACATTATAAGACGGACCAACGAAGTAGATTTATAACAAAACACTTAGAAAATAAGAGTAGTAAAAAGTATCGAGTTCGTGGTGAATATCAAAGGGTGTACTACAACTTATGAACGCTAATGGTTATATTTTCAATATTTCAATGTTATGACAAACAATATTTCTTGTTTTCAGCTTTCCTTAATGTCTGGGATAGCAACGTCATTATCGTGGATTGGGGTAACATAGCGAAAAACCTGCTTTATTCCGTCGTTGCAAAAAGCGTACCACGCGTTGCTCTGCGTGTAGCTGATTTCGTGAATTTCCTACAAACTAGCGCTGGTTTACGAACGTCTAAATTGAAAATTGTTGGACACTCCCTGGGTGCTCATGTGGCAGGCTTAAGTGCACTAGAGATAGGAAGGTCGAGCCAAGTCGCGGAAGTTATCGGTGGGTAACGATATATTAGTAGAATGGTATTCTAAAGTTCTCCACGAAGATCGAGGAACGCAGTTTTTAATGTCACATAGGAAACAATAGAATAGATTGATCGAGATTGGCAAATGAAAGATAAACAGAAAGATAAGTGAAGTTTTCAAGTTTGAAGGATAAATTTTTAAAACATCGGAGATGTATTTAGATTAACTTAACTCGGAGAAAATTTTTAAATCTTTATACACTTTAATGCAAATTGATTTTATATCCGGCAATCATGATACAGTAAATTATACTAAATCCCTAAATATTTGCCATTATAGCACTCGACGCTGCCAAGCCAATGTTTGAACACAAAGGACCTGATGGAAGAGTTGATAAATTGGACGCGCGAAATGTTCAAGTTATTCACACATGCGCCGGATATTTAGGTCTGAATATCTCTGTTGGTACTTCTGATTTCTTTGCCAATGATGGAAGAAATCAACCAGGATGCGTCAATGACTTGATAGGTAAGGAACATACTATAGAGTCTCGAGTTACTAACAGGTATCAATTGAAAAGATGTTAATTGCACACCTTGTGTATGTGTATGGGCGCGCACGCGTGCCTGCGCACGTATGTACAATATTAATAATAAATTTTATGAAACACAGGAGCTTGCGCACATTCACGCAGCTACGAATACTACAGTGAATCTGTTATGAATTCAAAAGGCTTCCTCGGTGTATCTCAGAATGGTGCAATGGCATACATGGGTGGTCCTACTCTTGACCCGAAGTGAGTTTTATTTTACTACTGTCATTAATTTATGATTGCAGAGCGTTACGCATTTCCGAGAAATATGAAGATACGCAAATGCATAGAATGCAGATAGCCAAAGTAGAGTACTTATTATAATATTTAATAGGGAAACATTTTTGTTCGGGCCCTATTCTTTTTAATATTAATTTGATTTTCTGATACTAATACATATCAATTTCTTTTACAGAGCTAAAGGAACCTACACATTCCAAACTAACTATCAGTATCCATATGCAGTTGGTGGATAAAGTTATTCTTCATATGAATATGTAACATATTTATTCGAATTGAGAAATAAATAGCAGATGATCGTATTAATCATCGAAATATGTGTAAACAAACTTTTATTTCGACTTACCGCAACCATATTTTCAATTGCTTGCATTGATCTGGATCCAAGAATGATCATGCCTATAGCAGAACCCTTAACCCATAATAATATCACTTTGATAAAGGCTGAATTTCAATTGTCCACACGCGATCCTGTAGTAGTCAGACTCAGTCCTAAACAGCTCCAATGACAGGCCATCTATACGAAAATCATTTCAGATTATAAATATACCATATCCTGCATAATATTATTTTATTCAACCCTATGTATATAACGTTAATTTTATGTCTTTAACTTTACCTTCTACATAATATTTGATACTTTAACTTTTAATAAACTATGATCAATAAGTTCAAGTTTACTATTCCCTGCTTTATCTTTTAATTTGTCATTTCATTGCTCAACACGCATTTGCTTTACTGCTCAATTGATTCAATGACTACACTATATTTTTGCAGATCATTATACCTCATTCTGTGCTTCCTTCAACTGGCTAAGTAAGTAATCTGTAATTGCTGTCCCATGCTTTGCATGAATGAGCCCTAGCACACGCAAGCCACTACTTTGGGAACAATCAGCTCCTGCACCAGTATCCCACAGCATGTAGGATTGCATTACAGCTAAGAATTCTTGTTCATGATGTTTGTCAACTATCCCTAAGGGTGCCATTGCTGTTAATTTTGACCATATCTCTAAAATGTAAAACAAAATGAAATAGAAACTAAATATGATTATATTTGAAAATATAATTCGCATAAAATCAGTTGAATACAGCGAGATATATTTACCTCAAAAATTGGTAGCTGATAATTCTATAATGCATACATGCATTCGCCCAAAATAACAAATATCAACTCACGAACCCAACAAATTTAACTGTAATATGATGCACTCTGTTTTAATGGCTGCCACACTAACTACACTAACTACTAACTACCGCACTAAAACTACAAATTTTTTCACGTCTTTTCATGTAATTACTTCTTGATTTTCCAAAAAAAATATTTAATAGTAAAAATTATTACAGCAATGAATAATTAATATTAATTAAGAAATTTGAAAATAATAAATTTCTGATCTTGTAAAGTTTGAACTTTATAAATGGTAGCACTGCATTATATTGGCGTGTACTTCATAGTGTTTAGTCGAACTTTGACTTGAAAACTCAATCATACATACAGTCGTGACTCCGAATTCTTGTAGAAAGTACGATTATAAGAGAAGTATTTCTTAAAATGGCAGAAAAAGCGAAAACTATGAGTCACGTAAAACATATTCCGAAAGATGCTCAAGTTATAATGTCAATTATGAAAGACATGGGAATAACAGATTACGATTCGAAGGTTATAAACCAATTGCTCGAATTTACGTATCGTACGTAATGTATTATATTTATAATTTATTTAAAGTAATGTAGATGAAACGAAGTATAAAATCGTGCATGATTTTGCATTTATGATTTTACATTTGGAAGTAAGCTATAAAGTTATTTTCGGTTTAAATTCCGCAGGTTATGTTACTTGTATATTAGACGACAGTAGAATTTACGCAAATCATGCTAAAAAGAAGTTTATCGATTTGGATGACGTTAGATTAGCAGTTAAGATGCAATTGGAACGTACGTTTACAAATCCACCCCCAAGAGACGTGTTACTAGATGTTGCTCGGGCAAAAAACAATGTACCACTGCCATTTGTCAAATCAAACAGTGGTTTAAGATTACCACCTGACAGATTTTGCCTGAATGCAACAAATTATAAACTTAAGAATTCAACGAAGAAAATAGTTGGGAAACCACTGCATTCTTTGGTTGGAAATAACATTCAAAGTGGTCAGTCTAAGATCAAAGTGGAAAGTAATAAATCTGGCCTCTCCATAGTTAAAAGGCCCGGGACACTTGCGACAGTTGCCAGGACTCAAAGCATTTCAATGCCAAAACCTGTCCTGAAATTTTCAACAGGTAAATGATACAGGAAAGTAAAGAATATATAACAGGAACTAATTTGTTAATTACATCGTATCACAGATCCCTTCCGGACCTTGCATTCCCAAACATCTATTCCCTCTATCCATATTTCATTAATACGTAAGATACAAAATTGTGTATGTAATAATAATATTTGCTACTATATTTTTCATTTTTTATTTATATTAATTGTTTAAATTTATAGCCACAACTGGAGGAGCTACCGTAAAGGCACAAGTAGCCAAGCCAAAAATACAGATTTCTTCAGGACAAACAATGCCGCCTATCAAAGTAGAGATCGAGGATTCTATGAAAAGGAAAAGAGAAGATGATGATTATGACGTTTCGTAGTAATAAAGGAGGTGGATAAATTATTTTATATTTTTTGTTTGCATCGTTTGAATCAGTGTATATAATATCAAAATGATTCTATCATTTCACATAATGCTTTAATTGAATTTTATCTTTTTGAAATTTGTATAAGAATTCCAATGAAACCGTATATTTTTTATTGGAAGACATTGTATAAATGTGTACATAGCGAATTCAACAAATTCACATTCTACTTGCATATATTTGTTATAAATCATCATATTTTATATAGTATATTTCCCCTAAACATTTTCCAAACGAAAATTAAAAGAATAATGGAGATATTTTTTGTTCAGTGTTGTAAAATATTTCCATGGAACAGTAAAAGATAATAAAGAGAAAAGTAGGATAATTGTCTAAATAAATTAATAGAATTTCTCAAATTCCAACTTATTTAGAAGGTAATTTATTTGAATGTTATTTTAAGCCTCGCAAATATACGCATCTTATTCATCGTATTTACACAAAGTCGATGGCTGTTCACTATGGAACTCCGTATTCTTCATCTTCATCGCCTTCATCTTGTTCTACATCAGTTTCGTCTTCTGTGGCATATCCAGGAGTTGTTGGAGCAGGTACAGGTTCGTCACCTTCGTCTTCGTCTTCGTAATCACCTACATCTGCTGGTTCTACTTCATCCTCGTCTTCTTCCTCATCCTCTTCCCCCATTTCATCTGGCCTTCGCACGTCTTCTACAGGAACAATCTCTTCTTCGGCCAATTCATCTTCCGTTGGCTCTTCTTCAGGCTCTTCTTCCGCTTCTTCTGGTATTTCACCCGCTTCGAAAGGTGGTGGTTCTTCGGTTTCAATCTTTTCCGGTTCTTCTCTTTTTTCTTTCGCCACATCCTTTTCCCGCACGCATTTCACTCGCTGAAGTGGCTTGAAGAGTTTAAAATCTTCGGGTAATTCATCTTCCGAATAAAGTCTGTTTGGTAAAACATATTTTATCATTCTATAAACTCGAAGTTTCTTCAAAAAAGGTAGCTATTAATTTCATGCGTTTCATACCAATAATGCAAAAAACAGATCAATTTCCTACCTGTCCGCAAAATAGATACGTCGAACCCTGCAGTTTGCGTGGATCTGTATGCGTGTAGTTTCGACATAATTTGTCCCGTACGCTCTCCGCGTAAAGTCCGCGAGATTAAATTGAATTTGATTCCAACCACCGGATAGGCCGATCGGCATCGACGTGCAGAATGGTCGAACTCGCGTGGTGCTTTGAAAATTACTCATGCGAAACCTTCTGTGCATATCCTTGTCGTCGAGTATCTGTCGAATCAAAAATGAAATATACTTCTTGTCTACATTCATTGTAGTTTTACGAAATTCCATTGCTGCTATTGAAAAAAATATAATCATTAAAGAGCTTTCCCCGTGAGACATTTACTGTTATTTCGAACGTGAAGTACTTCTTCATGTTCTTGATAATCATGATGAGAAACGGAAGTTTAATGCCAAGAACTTTCTTGGGACCACATGGGCAGAAGATGTATGTTGTTGTGACGTTGGTTCCGGCTATTTCCAGAGCTAGAGATTTCACTTCGTCGTCTGTTACTCTTCGAATGTATCCATTTTTCACCTGTTCGAGACGATTGATATTCGGAGCAAACAGATTAAATGCAATGCAATGTATCTTACTAACTCGAAGAGATACAATATTTGGAGAAATTTAATGGCGATAAATCTGACGGTGAAACTATTTCTATTAATCTCACAAAATAGAGTTATCTTTCCTTATGTTTTCTTTATATCGATGAACTTACGTGCATGTCCCATAACTCTAGCGGACGTGATCCGCAGCTGTACAAAACAGACATAAGTCCATGCTGATACTTGTTACGAAACATCCTACGTTTCTGCTCTCGTCGAATTATTAAAAATAATCAAAAGGAAAATGTATTATAATATTTTCATGTTATCATTATCCCGAGAAAACGTCACGTTTAACCATTTAATGCACATAAAGTAAGAGAATTTCTTTGTTTCCCTCCTAGTCGAATCGAATTTGTTTTCTCTTCTGATTTCGCGTGAAAGCTTCGAGAGTCTGTTTACCTTTTTGTTAAAGGAAGAAAATAGACTCGCCCACTTTATTCAATGTATCAATGGAAATTTTATTCGATCGCACATGTCGATACATATCGTACACAATGAAAGTTGGGAGCACAATGAGATGCTGTTTCGTTATGTGTCACGAAGAAGCTCGTTGATGTGACGTCTTTCGTTCACGGTTAGCAAATCGGGGACAATCAATGTCTTCGGTGGCATCCCGACGCTGAATACACGGTCGATCCTGACGCTATCGATGGCGAACAACTGCATCATCGCAAAGTGCATGATATCGCGGTTCAGCTGACGCTTGATCTGCTTCTTGGTCCTCTGTACACGTCGTCGGCAGACCACGTAACTTGTAACAGATTAAACATTTTGTCGAAAAACGACTTTTTAAATATTCAAATATTGAGGAGATATTAAAATGTTTTGAAGTATTTTATAATGTAAGATTCTCTGAATATTTACGATATTGACATATTCACTGTTATTAGCGTCGTGTCGTCTTAATTATCTATGATAAAATTTAGTTGTTGGATGTTCAACGATAATTACGGCCATAATCGTTAAATGTTTGATACGCGTATCAAAATATTTAGAAAAATAGGTAAACAACGAGATTAACAAATATTATCAATAAAACTAAGAATATCTAGGATGAAAGGATATTAAAGAGTAAGGAGAGCATTTCAGTCTTGAAATAGGATGCTACCTACGTTGAATCGTTGAGAATATAAAGAAAAGATAAAAATTTATATGGAAGTATCATAACAGCAAAGTAAGAAAACTAAATTTGCTTTTGATATTTTTGAAACTATTCTATATTGAATGTAATATATAAAGTTTTACCAAAGGACAGAAGAAATTGTTAAAAAACTATCCGATTTAATTTCAAGTCAAAGTGTAATCTAGTAGAAATAATGATATTTATTTTCACGAATGAGATAATCCTTACTAAGGTAGATTTTTTAGAGTAGTATAACTTGGATGTATCGAGACATCGCTTCTGTACAATTCCGGATATAATTTCATATGTTTCGTGAGATATCTCCTAGCACGTGGTTTCGCTGTAGAAATATCTTCCTTCGTTTCGGTCGTAAGCTCTTCTTTATCATGATCCAGGTCATTTTCCGTATCCACGATTTTCTCTCCTTCCTGGCTAGTCATCGTGATACATAAACTACGAATTCACACAAAAATATCGACTCTTTTTTTTATAAATCATTTACCTATGAATCATTTATGAATGAAACCCAACCAATTCTCATTTCCCGATTTCAATTCAATGGTCGAAAAATTCATAAAAACAGTATAAACAATTGCACAAGTCAATGATTTTCCAAGGTGTTTAGAATAATTAATATATTTAATTGTTTCTTCAAGTGTACTTTATCGAACCGAAATATCACAGAAAACGATTACTCACGCAGGATAAAGCTAAAATTTGAAATTAAATGGTCGAAAGAAGGGAACGTGATGATCGCCATAAACGCGCAGCTCGAACTGGAGAATTTTTCGATGGTCGATTCGACGAGTCTGACTGGTCTCTCCGTTGATCCGACGAAAGTTGGCCGATCTGCAACGAAGTGAGCCCCTGTGCCTCGTACGGATATCGATTTGGTTTCCAGGTAAATCAATAGAGATTCGGTTCATTCTTATTCCAATGCGTTTGCCTGTGTACACGTCGGACCACCAAACTTCCCACACAGAACCATTAATCTATTCCAATTAGCCGGTTGCGAGAAGATTATGCGGTAATCTCAGGAATTTGCGAGCCAGATAAAGTCACGCCGCGACGAAGCTCACGAACGATCTATGAATCGCGTTCCATTTGTACGTTGCACGATAGTTCGTGAAGATACCTGTTTAGAGAATTAAATTAAATCTTTTTAGCAACGGAAGTGGCAGGTGTGCTAGTTCCTGGTTTGTTGTATTTATATTATGTAACACACTATTGTCGCAGTTGTACTGAATTAGCTGTTTGGGACGAATCTGTAGAGTGGTACACACAAGTGTTTCCTATTACTCTATGTATGTAATTACGCGATCCTTGAGACGAACATTATCAAGCACAGGATTAATTGAATTATGTTTATTATACTTTTCCATGATGACATTGTATTTGAGGCAAGTACCTACTACAGAGACAATAAGAATCTGGTTTTGCATTCGATAAGAAGTTACTTATGCAGCAACTTGATATGATTCCTCTATTTGCATATGTATAATCTACATTCAACTTTAAATTGATTTCTTAATATTTATTTATATTTACAAAGAACTGAGAAATTTATTTTTATAAAATAACAAGAAAGGATAAATGTCATTTTACTTTAACAGGGATGCACGCTTCAGGGAATACATAAAGAAACTTTTGTAGGAAAAGTTTGTTACGATGTTGAAAAATATGTAAAATATACAGTTTCTGATAAGATGTAAGTACAAGAGGGAGGAAAGGAGATCTCTTGAATGTATCATAAAGAATTAGAGAACTTTTTCGTTTACGATAGTGAAATATACATAATTATAAGCATTAAATAATACATAATGAGAATAACAAAATGACGATACAGTAATGTATATTTAATTTATCAATTTTTGTAATTTTTAATTGATTACGCTTTTTACACGCAGAATGAAACGACAGCGGCAAGGAATTTACATAATTGCGTTTCGAGTTATGCATACAATTAAATTAAACGCGTGTTGCGACGACAATGCGTATTTACGAATGTGAAGAATATTCATAAAAATTTCTTTAGTACTTTTTTCTGCTTCGTACTTCACTAACGAGAAAAGTACATATAATTTTTATTAAAAAAATATAGTTTATCATATACTTAAGATAAGAAAATTTAACAAAAGGTATTAACCTTTTTGTGATTATACTTAAGATGGGAAAATATACTTAAGATAAGAAAATTTAACAAAAGGTATTAACCTTTTTGTGATCATTAATCGGAATCATTCGCATTGTTGGAAATTTCTTAATCCGTGAGATTTATCTTATCTTAATCGTTCGAAAAAGTTTAATAACGTGAGTATAATCACCGTGACAGCCATCGTTTCTCGATTATATCACAATTTTCAGACTAACCTGCGTACAGAATCAAATTTCTGAATTACCAGTAGCCAGTCGCCGCCATATCCTGAAAACAGACAAGAATTTTAATTAACGTGCATCATACATAGTCCATTGAAACTGCGGTAAGAGCTTCATCGCGTGCTATTGTCTCGGGAAATAGACGCAGAGCACGAAGGATATTTATCGAAGCGCTATCGAGTCCTCGAGGGGTTGGTTTCTCGTTTCTGTGCGATGGCATATTGCGCACCGCCCTTAGGAGCCATGAAAATTCGATTACAATTACGCAGACATGTCGCCAACAACTTCGTTACCGCATCGATTAAACCGTGCACGGTTTCGTATCGGCTAAGTAATCGTGTGCTGCAATCGATAAACGGTAGTCGCAAACACACGGGTCAGCGACGAACTTTTGCCCTTTCGTCTACTCAGCTATCATCTCGTTAGAACGCGTTAGCTAAACAGAATTTCTTTAACCCGGTATAATTGCTCCGGTGATAGTCAGCGTGCTAGAAATTGCGTTAAAAATAAACTGTTGCCCACTTAACTGTTGTCGTGCCAACGTAGGGTCACTCAAGAAGCCTGATATAAGTACTTGTGACATTTATGGAAGGGGTTTGGCTTTGAAAAAGGAAATTGTTCAATTACAATTTTTATTACTTTAGTTTCAGAGTATTCTATTTAATTATTGACTTCGTTTAATAAATTTAGTATCTTCCGTTGGTGAAGCTGTATTTGGTTCTGTATTAGTGCGATTAGATTATGACTATGGTCATCGAACTCGTTGAATTGTCTAAGAACTATGTACATTAATAATAATAACGAGTATATATAAAAATGCATAATTGTCTGGGTAATTCGATATCAAGGAATTAAGTGCAACGAAAAAATTGCATGATTTCATTCCTAATAAAGTTTCAAATCAGACCTCAATATCTTCGAGCTCGATATCTCTTAAAAAACGTTAGAACCTAGAACGATCTAGAAACGTGTAGAAATTAATGATACAGCCTCGATCAGGAATAATTGCACGTTAAATAACGTTATATTAATTCGAACAGAACTGGCATTTGACAAAAAAGACCGCCGCGTCTGAAATTCAAATCTCTGTACAAGCTTCTCCCGCGTCCGCCTGCGCACATTCTTGCCGGGTCGCCACAGCGAATAAGACGTCCCCGTCCAACGGAACAGAACGTTGTACGAGCCACAATAACCATGCTCCAACTTATTGATATTTTCTGGAGAGTAACGAGCGCGACACGAGTGAGACGGGTATGCCGCGCGAAGCGTGTAGCCCGGAAGGGTGCGAGTAGGACGCGGCGAGGGTGAAGAGGGTGCGCCGGAGCCCTCGTCACGCCCGCATGCTCAACGTGTGCAGTCTCCGGGTGTACAGCTGATCGCGAGTTCCGTGATTCGCAAGCAAACAGGCGCGCTATATCGTCGTGATCACATGTCAAGCAATCCAGTGATCCCTCTGAAACTGACCTTACTTTTTCCAACGAATCTCTTCTAAATCGTGTTCTTAGCATCCGAGTTGACGATGTTACGGCGATAGCGATAGCTACTGCATCTTTGGAGAACGCGAAGGGTCGTCATCGTGCACCCATCTTCATTCGTGTAGGTTCTTTGCATACCGTCGCGTAACCGTGTAATGTACGTGTGAATGTACTTCTTGTAAAAGGGTTACCGTAGCGGAAGAAGAAGAAGAGAAAAGGGCGGCTGTGCGTCGTGTAGCCACGCGATTTACGAATCTTTGATCCCTATCTGGATGTCGTTGGTCGCCGTGACGTCGTCGTTTAGAGACGGTGGACCGAGAGACGGGACGAGCCGCTTCGAGGCCACGGTTTCGAGGAACACGGTTGCCCACGCTCGATAATCGCGATAAGCTCGTATATGATGGCCAACGAAATAACACAGAGACCGTACAGGTGCGTGATCGCTTGGTCGTTTCGAGGCTTTTCCTAAAGAATACTAGCTGCGAGAATCAGAGCTCAGCCGGCCACGAAGCCGCTCTCTGTTTCCCGACGAAGTACCGGAACAGCAGCTACGACGATTTTGTTAAGCGATCCTCGCGACTGTTGCTCGTGGAAATTGGGACAGTGTGCGAAGATCGTAGAGGAAAAACGCGATGCGTTATATTATTTATTTCTCTATGAGGAATCAGTTTTCAAATAATTTCAGAAACGTGTCGAATTGTATCGTCAGGTTGACGATATTACCAATATCGTTGTCGGTGATATTATATTGCTGGCTTTTTAATTTAATTCATTTGGTTCTACTTAATTTTGAAATTAGACATATATTCATCAAAAAATATCGATTTCTATAGTATCAGTTCCAAAAGATGTCGTGAACGTACTACTATATTTTTGAAAGATTTATATCTTTCGGTTTAATTGGTTGTATCTTTTCAATTATGCAATGGTTAGGTAATAATATGCTTCGAATCATCGAGCAACATGAGAATCGGAAAATCAATAATAACGGACGTGTTATGGTTTTGCAAAATTTTTAAAGATCCTATGCGGCTCTTACGAGGCTCGATAAATAATTATTGAGATAATTGTGCAGATAGATTAAATGTTTGGTAAGAAAGTTCGGAAATTCTTCGCACGAACATCGACTGTAAGTTGCATAAGCGTGTTGCTAGTGTTTTAAATGACGTAATTGACGACCGTACTTGACCAGATTCTGGCCGATTTATTGATTCCGATTAAATATTATTGTTGCTAAAGCAACTCGTTTATAGGACAATCGATTATATTTTGCGCACTGCTCTCACATGCATGCTTTACGCTGCTTATTAGCAAGATCGATTAAGACAAATATTTCCTATTTTGTGATCTATAGGTTTACGTCTAAAATATAAATCTGTGTTTCGATTGTGCCAATCAGTCGTCAAAATTTCTATGCGTATTATAAACAGACCATTCTTTCTTTAAATAAAATATACGCGAGCTGTTCAGAAATTAAAATAATGAATTTTATTTTTTGAAAAATTCTTCACGTCTTGACGATATAATAAACAAGCGAAAAATTCAGAAAATAAAGCAGATATCGCAATATGTATGATAATTGTTAAAATACGTAACGTATAATACTATTTAACGATTTGCCCGAGTCTCTCTCATTTCACGCTGGAAAAACATTCATTATTATACTACTAATTAATTAATTGGTGTAATTGGCGTTCAACTTTTTAGAAATCAAATAATTATCGTCGATGGAGTTGACCAAATTGATATCTCTTCGCATTGTACGATAACATATTTATTCTCCTAACGTATAAAGCAACAATCAGACTGTGGATTTTTATTCGTTTATAAAAAATTCGAGGATGAAAAAATAGATAGAAATATCCAAAGTAGAACGCCGATCGTAATATTTAGTAGGCGAAACAAGCTTTGTTTATATCTCATTTCTTTAATTATGTTCACAAATATGATACGAGTCTGTATAAATACACGCAGTCCAGTAATAATAAAACAGTTTCTAGTCGTCTTACTGAGCACAGTACGTGCTAATTAATACTAACTTGGCAGTGAAATATCGTAGCACATTCTTTTACCTGCATAAGTAATATTACATCAGTAATAAAGGATATTTCTAATTTTATTTCAGTTTTAATTTTAATTTTAATTTCGTTTTACATTTTCATTTAAAAGAATAATCTTTTTTATAGAATATACGAAGATTTTTATAGATCACCGTATAGAAGGTTTCAAGTATCTGTATTATTGTAGATCTTTGGATATCGTCGTACAAATTTTATCGAGTGGAAATTCTTCATGAAATTTTATAATAATTGTTTTCTTTTAAGAACAACGTTACCAGTTCCGGGCCATTCGGAAGTGAATTTATGCTCGGTGATATCACTGGGCAAGGACCTCAGCAAGATCACCATGCCGGTCATTTTTAACGAACCACTTTCCTTCCTCCAACGTGTCGCAGAGTACATGGAATACGCGAAATTGCTTAAGCTAGCGGCTCAAGAAGAAACTCCAATTGGAAGGTTGCAGGTAAATGGAAGTTTTTATTAGGTTGCGGAAGTTGTTCGAGGGAGAATCTTTCTCGTTAAGCGTAAAAAATATTCTCTGTGTCGTAGTACGTCGCTGCATTCGCTGTAAGTGCTTTGGCTTCGAACTGGGAAAGACTTGGCAAACCCTTCAATCCGATACTCGGTGAAACGTACGAGTTGGAGCGCGAGGACTTCCGGTAAGTAGCCGACCGTCCAAGTTATCAAAAACATTTCAGTTTAGTTTAGTTTCTGCGTTGAAGTTAATTAAGTATTCAATTATTAGGACGGTCTCTGGCAAGTATTATACGAGTATCGACTTGTCATTTGATGAATTTATCAAATGATAATATCTCGATGAATCTTAATTAAATTGCTACACCGAAGATTAAATTTAATAGTTTGGAAATTTCTCGATCGATGATATTTCTTGTTCTTCTCGTTGAGCAGATAACAAGTAGTCGATTCAGAATGAAATCTTCATATTGAATTATTCTATCGAAATACTAGGTTGTCCGAAAAGTTTCTTTCGTTTTATAAGGAAATAATAGACGCACCATGTTTTGCGTTTTATATTAGTTTATTGAATTATGCACGAACATAATAATAGAAATATGACGAAATAGATCATACCTAATTCAATATTAAACGGAAATTGTTGTTCGTCCAGTATCGTCTTATAGAACGAAAGAAAGTTTTCGGACAACCTAATACATTTCGTATTGCGATTATATTCCAATGAAGCATCTGGGAGATTGTTCTCCCAGAATATCCTAGAAACGATTAGACAACTCCAAAGAATTAAAGGCTATTTGTCATTAAGCATGGAAACAACGCGATCTACAAATTTGTAACATTATCGAGAAAATGTAGGAACTCGTTCACGCATGTTTACTCTGTGTCTTTATTTAGAATAGTCTGCGAACAAGTGTCGCATCATCCACCGGTATCCGCGTTCCACGCGGACAGCGAAGAATTCACATTCCACGGCACTATACACCCGAAATTGAAGTTCTGGGGCACATCTATCCAAGTACATCCAAAGGGTATTGTCACCGTCGAGCTTCCTAAGTAAGTAGCCGATTCATTTATTGTTACGTATATTGGGTTGGCAACTAAGTGACTGCGGATTTTGTCATTAGGTGGTATTGACAAAATCCGCAATCGCTTAGTTGTCAATAGAAGCGTACGTCTTGGGCCGCTAGAGAATTTTTGCAAATTGTAACAATAATATTTAGATACGGAATTTCACGACATAATACTAGAATTATTGGAAGAAAATAAAAAATTTGTATCGAAAGAATCGAATTGAAAGACACGTAAGGAAACAGAAAATATACAAAAAAAGAACAAGCTTTTATACTTTTTTAATAATAAGTATGCAATGGGTACTTTTATACTGATAAAATTTATCTATATCGTGTTCCCATTAGGTGGTATTGACAAAATCCGCAGTCACTTAGTTGCCAACCCAATAGAATTACTTTCGAATGTCCACGAACAGTAACAAAATTTGGCTGCACATTCGTGTAATTTGTAAAAGTGACAACGCACATACAGCAATATACACATACGTAGGTACATTGTTTCGTGGAAATAGTACAAAATATATAGATTTCCATTACGGTTTCTTATCATCGTTCTCGTTGTACTAGAAGCTCTGTACAACCAGTTTCAAAGAAACACGTAAACAAAGGTCTGAGACCAAAGGCACCAAAATAACAAAAACCCGGTAAATAAAGACGGCCTAGCCGACTGCATGTGGCGTTCTAACGTTAAAAGAAGCACTTTGTACGAATTCAGATGGAAGGAAGCGTATACTTGGCAAAATATCAATTGCATACTGCACAACGTGCTGGTAGGGCAATTATGGATGGAACAGCTCGGTTCCTTGGAGATCAAACAAAGCGGCGGAGCGAACTTGAAGGCGACTCTGTGCTTCAAAAGCGCCAGCTGCAATGCCAAGGACCTTCACCGAGTCGAAGGCTTCGTAACGGATCAAGAGTAAGCTGGTAACAGTTTAT